TTCTGCTATCATGCTGTGCGTGTCGCGCGTCGCGCGTGTCATGTGCGGTCGTTGAACATTCTTCGGCGCACCACCAGGGAGTGGAACAAGCGGCACGGCTACTCGAAAGAGTGTACGAGTTCAAGATCTGGTGGCTCAGCCGGCGCGNGTTTCTCGACGGCTCGCGCAAGGACCAGCCCAAGCAGCAGCTGTGGCACCACGTCTGCTACGACACCAAGCCCACCCTGCCGCCCACTACAAGAAGCCAGCACCCCAGTAGTACCCTACCCTCTACATTTCTTGATCATTTTATTTACCTGTATTATATCAATATAAGCATTAACAATTGAATTTTAAATGGAATCAAAATTGAAATAAGCAAAAAGAAAAACTATTGGAGGAGACAATCGGGGGACTTGGCAAGCTTGACCGGGACGGGGATGGGCGCGGGCGGCGCGTAGGGGACGGCCTTCATGAGGCTGCGGCCCTCGGCCGGCAGGACCACCTCTGACTCGGGCGGCACGCGGTCGTAGTAGATGGCGTCGTTGTCGCTGGCGTAGGCCTTGGCCAGCTTGACGAGCTCATCCCGCTCGGCGCCGTAGACGTTCACGAACGACTGGAAGGCCGCGTCTGTGAACCGGCCCTTGGGCTTCTCCGGCACCTCGCCCACGGCCTTCTGCATGTAGGCCACCGCCCGGCCGTACTCCCTGTTGACACCAAAGTGAGCGACAATAATCAAAAAAAAAAATTTAAATTGATCTTAACAATGTATTAATGAAACAAATAAAAGCATAGAACAAAAATTATAAAAAGAGGGGTACCCATTGGCGTGGGCATCGCGGGCGAGGTGTTTGTAGGTGAGGCCAGAGAAGAGGAGGTTGTTGAGGGTGAGATAGAGGCGGAACGACTCGACGAATTCGACCCCGGTTATGGCCTTCAGCGCAAACGACGCCTGAATGAACGAACGCTTTGGGTCAGCCACATTTGATCTCCCATCGTCAATCAGCGCGACACGACAACGTACGATGTTGTACTTCTGAGAGATGTCGAGGATGAGCTTCGCCAGCAGGGAGTCGCTGGTGCCCTTTGCCATCGCCTTCTGCACCGCGATCTGCTGCGCTTCGGCGAGACACAGACTGCCGTCGCCCCACACGACCGTGAGTACCAAACCACGCGGCAATGGCGATCGGGTCATCACCATCCAGGCCAGCAGCAACGCACTTGATGAAGAGGGTCTGGAAGTGCTCCGTGATCTCGGCCACCGGCGGGTCCAGCCTGCCGTGTCGAGTGGCCACCGTCAGTTCGCCTTCGAATTGGACGCAAAGCGGGGGGAAGTAGTACCTGACTTTCTTGAACTGGAGGCATTGGGTGTCTCGTATGAACTCGAAGATGCCCGCAGCCATGCAGAGCGAGCGAGCGACCTGTGTGCAAAGGAGAACTATGACGACACACGCACGCACCACCGCACACGACACGCACGGCTGACTCACGATTGAGTGGTGCGCACCTCTTTGGAACCCTCATCGAAGGCCTCCTGAGAAGCGAAGATGGTGCCGAATCGCTGCGCGGCCGCAGCTCTGTGGAGGAATGCGGCCGTCTGCAAGAGTGTCGCGGGGAGAGCGATCAGATACCACAGAGCCGTCAGCAGCTGTGGTGACATTGGCCCGCACCATGTAGGAGAAGAACAGCTCCGACGACATGCTGTTGAACACCATCGGGTTCTTCAAGAAGTTGACGCTGACGCTGCTGGTCCAGCACACCCCTACGCACCATATCAATATATATCAAGTGTAGATATATTACAAATAAATAAGTAAATAAGTAAATGTGAACCGTACGAATGTTCCTGGCCACCGGGTTGCCCGTTGCCGCGGCCGCTTGGTCCAGTCCTTCCATCTGCACAGCACACCAGTAACACACGGCACACGTTCACTCAGGGACCACCGCACACACACGCACACGGGAGGTGGGTCACGTTTTCTTCGTACCAGACCCAGCTCGCATGGGATGTACGCATCGAGCGACTGGTCTCCCACCGCACACGCACGACCGCACACGCACGACCGCACACGCACACGCAGTAGTTAAGGAGGCGGTAACTTAACAATAATATAATAAAAATAATAAAAATGTAATGAATAAAATGTAATATAAAAAGTCTGCTTACGCGTAGGGCGGCTTCGGGGGTGGAGCGGGTGAGGGCGCTGACGAGTTCCTCGCGCGTGCGGGAGATGCGCTGGAGCAGCTCCTTGGTCTCGTTGTCGCCCTCCCGCACCCACTGCTCAAAGGCCAGCTTGGTGGTAGGCTGCATGAGGCCCACCACGAACACGTGCATGGGGAACTCCGCATTGTCCCCTCCTCCACCGCCGCCCGGGGCACCACGGCGGGCCGTCGGCGACGAAGGCGATGCTGGCTGTCCCGCGTTCATTTATATCTGATAATAAATAGTTATATCTGATAATAAATAGTTTATCATTTTGGATTTATCACCCAATTTTCATAAAAGAAAAAGGATGTGAGTGTTCCCGGCAAAAAATTCAATAAATAATAAATAGCCTTTTTACATGGTTGAGGTCACAGAGTGTCGTGGGCCTCGTCGAGTGCAAAGTTGACCTGGCCGATGTTGAGCCCCTTGTTGATCTGGTAGGTCTTGTAGGCGGCCAGGCCCTTGAACACGCCGTACGCGGCCGCCACGCCCACCACCAGCGCCACCGCTCCTCCTGCAACCGCACGAAACACGACACACGGCACCCGCACGCAACAAGACACAACACACGGCACACACACGATACGACACACGTGAGCTCAAGCTAAGGCTTATCTTTGCAATACTCCAGAGAAGAAGCTTACCTCCGAGAGCGCCACCGACGGCGGCGTAGGTTGTGGACTGGTCGCTCGAGGAGCTGCCGCGCTCCTGCGACTCGGAACAGTCGGCGCCGCCCCAGAACGGCAGGCACATGCACACCGGCGGGTTCGTGTCGCCGTTGCACTGGCCATTGCCCGAGCAATCGCCCGGACAGATCGCTGTTGCATGTCTCTGGTCAGCTCAGGTGTGTCGTGTGTTGTGTTGCGCGCGTGTGTGTCGTGTTGTGTGTCGTGTTGGTTGTGTGCGTGGTGGGTGACGGTACGGGTGGCGCAGTCGGGACCGGTCCAGCGCGCGTCGCACCGACACTCAGCCGGTTCGACGCTCGAGTCGCAGCGGCCGCGGCCGTTGCAGTTCTCCTCGGCGCCGGGGCACCGCACCACCGAGCAGTCGGAGCCGCGCCAGTTGTCGCCGCACTGGCACGTCCCGTTGACGCACGTCCCGTGCTCGCTGTCCGTACACTCGTCCGGGAAGCCCGGGCACATCGGTTCATCTAAAAATGTAACGCGTGTGCGGTCGTGCGTGTGCGTGCGCGTGTGAGTGCGACGACATGTGTGCTGTGGTGCGTGTGCGGGTGCGCGTACAAATGGAGCACGAGTTGCCGTAGAAGTACGGATCGCACATGCACGCGGGGCTGGCCAGATCAGTAGAGCAGGCGCCGTGGCCAGAGCACTCCGCCTGGCCCTGGGCCGCAGCACATGTGGCTACAAAGATATGCGAGTGCGAGTGAGAAAAGAGCGAAGGGCGAAGAGCGAAGAACGAAGTGCAAAGAAAGAAGAACGAGGGGAGGTACGTGAGAAGCAGTCGTTGAGGGGACCGCTCGCCCATCCAGGCCGGCACTGGCATGCTGGCTGGGCAGCGCCGCCCGCCAAGCAGGAGCCATGGCCGGAACACTCGGGGAAGACCGAGAAGTCGTTCACCGAAAGGCAGTACGCTGCACCCACACACGACACGACACACGACACGACACACACGACACACAAGGGTCAGTCGTGTGCGAGAGTGAACACAGAGGGAAGGAGTCGGGTACGAGTGTTGCAGTCAGCGCCGCGCCAGTCTCCATTGCAGGCGGTGCAGTACTTGGAGGTGCCGTTGCCCGCCACGCACACGTCACAGTTCGGGGCCGAGGCGCAGGCGGTGAGCGCCACCGAGCAGTCGGGTCCGGTCCACCCGGCCGCGCACACGCAACGCGGCGGGTCGAGCCCCACATCCACGCACTTGCCGTGGTTCGAGCACTCCGTGGCCCCCGCCGCACACTCGGCTGCACGACACACGCGACACACGACACACACGTTAGACCTGCTCAATTCTGTCGCCAGAGCAAGACTTGGTTCGCACCGACGGAGCAATCGGGGCCGATCCACCCGGGGCTGCATCGGCACTCGACGGCGTCCGTCGTGCCGTTCACCACGCACTCGCCGTGGTGGTTGCAGTCCGGCGACCTGCGCGATCGCTGGTTAGTGAAAGGGCCACAGCTCGAGAGGGCAAGAGTGAGGAGTGAGTGGCAGGAGCGCACCCGGGGCAGTCGGTGTGCGAGCAGTCGACCCCGCGCCAACCGGGAGGGCACGAGCACAGGCCCGACGTGCGGTTGCACGACCCGCGGCCCGAGCACTCGTTCGCACCCTGGCCCGGGCACCGCGCGTAGGCTGGTGGGGTGGTGCAGGAGGGAATGTCAACAATACGGAGTTAGTTCGTCGCAGAGAAAAGAGTAAAGATTGGTTTGGTACCGAGGGAGCAGTCGAGGTCGGGGCCGAGCGCCCACCCCTCGAAGCATTGGCAGTGGGGCACGCCTGAGTCGGCGTCGGTGCACACGCCGTTCTCCGGGCTTGTGCAGTTGTTGCTGCATATTGGCACTACACGCCGATCGTGGCGCCCATTGCCTTGCGTGAGTGTGTGCGTGCGTGTGTGCGGTGGCGTGTGTGCGTTTGTGGTATTTGCAAATCGCGTGCGCGGTACCAGAGCAATCGTTAGGCTGGCCCGCAGGACCGGTCCAGTTGGCCTGGCATTGGCAATAGGGCGTCGTCGCGGTTTTACAGAAGCCGTTGTTGCTGCACGCTGGTTCTCCCGGACAGTCCGCTGATCGTGGAAAAACGAGATGAAAAGGTTGGTTGTGTGCCATCAAAACATAAAAGAGAGTCGGCACTTACGTATCTCACAGGCGAAGCCAGTCCAGCCAGAAGGGCACACGCAGCGGGCTGGCTGGAAACCGCCGTCGCAAGTTCCACGGCCACTGCATTCTGCGCCCGCCAAAAGGAGTGCGTAAGTGCATCGATTGTCCTAAATTGAATTATAAATAGAAATAGAAATACAGAACTTTGAAAAACTAACATAAAAATATAAGAAACAGAACATTATAGCATACCAGGGGATCCAGGGCAGTAGTCTGGGATGGCGATGTAGATGTAAAAAGAGGGAATTATTAGTCAGTCAGGCGGAGCGAGCAAGAAATGGTGAGGAGGGCGACAACGCACAATGTTGGCAGGAGTCCCCGGTGCGGCCAACGGGGCAGTTGCAGTTCTGGGTCGCGCCTTCCAAGAGTATGGCGAACGAGTTCGAAGAGCTCGCCGAACAGGTGACGCCTGGCTCGCTCGGATCTGGTGTGTCGCGTGCACCGCGTGTGACGTTTGTGTCGTGTGTCGTAAGCGTGGTGGTGGGAGGATTTTGTTTTGCCCTATGTGCAGTTCGTACCGTAGGCGTTGCTGCTGTCTCCCTCGCAATACACTTGGCACCGGTCGCCGCCGATTGCCAAGTTGAATTCGCGGGCATGATCAGTGAACACGCCAAAGGTGCTCGTGCTATGGAGACGAGACATGCGGTGAGATCAACGTCACAAATAAAGCGGTAAAAGAAATGAAATCTGATAAAAGAAATGTAAAACAATTCTGAAAAATTGAAATTGAAATTAAAAAAGATTAATAATAATATGGACCCAACTGCTGGGCGACGTACAAGCCCTCGACGGCGTCGTAGAGGAAGAATGAAGGGAGCTCGAGGCCGTAGGTTCCGAAGAGGAGCAGGGCGATGTTGTTCCGCAGCTTGTAGTGGCATCCCGAAGAAGGCAGAGGGAGACTGCGGGCCTGCGGGTCGATAATTTCGTAGTCTGGCACGATGAGGTAGGTCGATTTGATCTGGGAGGCGGTCACGTCCTCAGCTCGCGCGATTGGCAGAGTAACTGCGCCAGCAAGCCATCGTCACCCGTTAGAACTGTGCGAGTGTGTGTGCGTGCGGGCGTG